CCTGTATACTACATTATAGTACTTGAGCTCTAATATCGATTTGACCATGACCCTCTAAGTCCTGACCCCAACAAGGCAACCCCAGTAAGTCTGAAATGAGGGCCAAGAGACAGCTAGGGGGCACAGTGCTCCTTTAGAGTTGCTGAGGCCAAATGCCCTACCCTCGGGCCTTGTTTGTGGCATCATGGCCATCGCAGCCTATAGTGGCCTGCAATGGCGACCCTTGGTGCCGACCCCGGACCAGTGTCTAACACCTGCATCTGGACCCACACCCGGACCTGCATGTGTGCTCCACCCTGCATGCTCCATGTGCCGCATGCTCCAGGCTCGGTTCCTATTCCTCATGTGACTTCTGGGTATCCCCGGAAGTTTTGCTGATATTGGGGCCACTGTGGGAAGATGAGAAGTTAGCTTCCTTCTCATCTTCTTACCCACAGTAGTAGGTTGTGCCCTGGATAGGGCTGGTTACACCAGTGGGCTGTGGACCATAGGGGAGGGTCATGGGGACCTGGGAGTTGTCCCCTGACACTTTCCAACCTTCCATGTGGGGAAGGATTTGACATGGTTACAGGTGTCACATCCACGTACATACCGCCTGACATACTCTGCCATCCAAGGCCACCAGTAGTTGCAGACTCCTTCCCAGTCGCTCACATGATTTCTCCGAGGTTTAGCCGCAACTTACGTTGCCCTCCGAAATCTGTCGAGCGACTGGTACAACTTGCAACACGTGATGTTCCCACGCTAAGTTGTAATGAGTTGTACATAGGTTACGGAATATAATTTTTAGTATTTACACATGCGGTCATTGCACTCAACCCAACCCGTGAAGACTAAGGGAGCACATCCAAGGTTATGGAGTCAATATCCGGGTGTGCGCGAAGTTTAACAGTTTATATATTACTTAGTTGCTAGTCACTTGTTTGTGCCCGGTGGCATAAGTGGTGTGGTGTGGCGTGAGCTGAGGCTATGCAGTTTTTTTAAGTGGCACATGTTCGATTCTCACATCGGAAAACTTTTTTCGGGCCCTCCCATGGAATAATTGTGTGAAATGGTTGTTTTCTGTACACTAAGGAGTGAAGGGTATGAAAAAAAATGTTTCCTGAGTGAGAATCGAACATGTGCCACTTAAAAAAACTGCATAGCCTCAGCTCGCGCTATACCACTTATGCCACCAGGCACAAGCAAGTGACTAGCAACTAAGTAATATATAAACTGTTAAACTTCGCGCACACCCGGATATTGACTCCATAACCTTGGATGTGCTCCCTTAGTCTTCACGGGTTGGGTTGAGTGCAATGACCGCATGTGTAAATACTAAAAATTATATTCCGTAACCTATGTACAACTCATTACAACTTAGCGTGGGAACATCACGTGTTGCAAGTTGTACCAGTCGCTCGACAGATTTCGGAGGGCAACGTAAGTTGCAGCTAAACCTTGGAGAAATCATGTGAGCGACTGGGAAGGAGTCTGCAGTAGTTGCAGGAGATGAGTTCCAGGGTTTTCCATTGTCCTGGGTGCCCCATCACCCACACATTGTGGTGCAGCCATACCAGATCATGGCGGAGTTGTGGGTCTTTCGGAATGTACACCCTTCCCTGGTAGAGGACCAACTCTCCTTGTCTCTCCCACTCATTTGACCTCAGTGTCCCCTCTCCTAGTTCTCTCATGGCCTTCACCACCCACTCATCATGATCCTTCGCTTCTCATATCCTCTTCAGAATATCCACCTCGCCCTCTACTGAGACTGCCTCTGTTGCACAGGCCTCAAACCAGGCTGGTTGGAGGAGTGTCAGCCCCCCATTGTCGTCTCTTCCCTTCAGGTGGTCAGGACGATGAGAGAGCGTGTCCAGTTTCCCCATGAGCTTCCCTGGGAGATGGATGAGGGTGAAGTAGAAGCAGGAGAGGGAGAGGGACCACCGTGCTTGATGCCGGTTAAGTCTCTGGGCCATGTGGGAGTACCCCAGGTTCAGTGGTCAGTGTAGACTTCGACCTTCTCCTCAGCACCCTCTAGGAAGTGCCGCCATTCTTTGAGGGCCCGGATGATCGCAAGCATTTCCTTGTCATACACCTCGTAGTTCCACTCTACATCCGTAAAGGTCTTGGACATAAAGGCTACCAGGTGGAACTCTCCATCCGACTGGAGCTGGGAGAGGACTGCGCTGGTCACGAAGTTGGAGGTGTCACATTCGAGCCTGAGATGGCCCGAATCTGTGGGGAAGGAGAGGACGGGGGCAGAGGTGATGGCTTCTTTAAGGGCATGGAAGGCACCATCTTCATCTGGCCCCCAACTCCAGGCCTTGGTCTTCCAGGTCAGCACATGGAGGGGTCGTGCTTTTTCGGAGAAATCTCTGATGAATCAACGGTAGAAGTTCACGAACCCTGGAAAGGATTGTACCTCTTTCACCTTGGTTGGGGTCAGCCAGTCGAGAGCTCCATGGACCTTCACCAGGTCCATTGCAACGCTGCCCCCAGAAATGACAAGACCGAGGTACTCAATCTGGGTCCGCTTGAACTTGCACTTCTCCAGCTTCAGGAAGAGCTTCCTCCTCTGCAGCGTCTCCAGGACCTCTTGGACAACCTTCCGGTGTTCCTCTAGGGTGAGAGTGAAGATGAGTATGTCGTCCATATAGCAGATGACAACCTCCCAGTCGATGAAGTCCTGGAGGATGTCATTCATCATCGTCTGGAAGGTTGCAGGGGAGTTGCACAGGCCAAAGAACATCACCATGGGCTTGAATAGCCCCCAGTTGGTTGTGAATGCTGCCTTCCACTCATCACCATCCTTAATCCAGATGTTGTTGAACCCCCAGCATAGGTCTAGGGCTGAGAAGTACTTGGCCTTGCGGAGGTGGGCAAGAATGTCCGAGATGAGTGGGAGGGGGTATGAGTTCTTTACCATGATTTCGTTCAGCTTTTGGTAGTCTTGGACCAGCCGTAATGACCGTCCTTCTTTTTGACAAAGAAGACCGGGGCTCCCATTGGAGACTTAGATGGCTGTATGTGCCTGTTCTGTAGGTTTTCATGCAGGAACTTGTCTAGTTCTTTCTGCTCTGGGTGTGAGAGGGGGAAAGTTTTTCTTCTGGGCAGTTTGGCGTCCGGCACCAGGTCTATGGCATGGTCCCAAGGCTTCTGGGGGGGTAGTCGGTCGAAGGCCTCTTTCGAAAACACGTCCCAGAAGTCTTGGTAGTGACCTGGCACTAACTCTTCGAACGATGTGGGCTCTGCATCCAGCTCACGAGCCTCCTGGGCCATTTGCTGGGAGGGCATTGTAGTTGCCCTTAGGTCATGACCCCACCCTGAGGGGATGATCGCAGCATAGATCCCATCCCCAGGTTCTATCACAGGGTCCTGGTCATCTGGTACCCGTGGTGATTGACAGGATGATGGGCAGCGGGACATGACAACCCTCTGTTGTACCCAGTCCACTTCCGGGTTGTGATGGAGTAGCCATGAGTGCCCTATGATGAGGGATTGTCATCCCAGGTTCACAACAGCGAAATGGGCCTGCTCTGTGTGCCTCCCAAATGTTAGGAGGGCTTCCAGCTCCTCAGTTATGGCTCCATTCTCATTTTGGGTCCCATTGACATTACGGATGGGGATGGGCTGCGGGAGTGGGGTCATCTCGAGCTTGTGCTTCTGGATGAACTCAGGGCTCATGAAGTTCCCAGTGGCCCCCAAGTCTAGGAGGGCAGACACAGACACAGAGGCAAGGGAGGTCAGGGTGGTCAGCTTCACGGTAAGGTTGAGTGACCTGGGGGACTGCTTCGAGAGGACATAGATAGCAGGTGGGGATACCGCTACTTCGGGTGCTACCCTTGAGTCTCTCTTGCTTTCACAGGCTGAGGATGCGTTTTTCCTCTTTTTCTTTGCAATAACTTGGTGGAACTTTTGCATTGGTGCTGGCTTACATGCGCTGTGGTATTTACACGAGTTGTAGTTGTCCACTACGGGCAGCTGGGACACATCCCTCACTGGTCGCCTTCCTGAAAATCCTCCTGGGGATCTTCCTCTGGCCCTCTCTGCTCTGTCTCTGGCTCTCCAGTCAACTGGCTCTTCAGTCCTTCCATCAGCGCCCAAAGGTCTTCAGGATGGAGGTGTCGTACTCAATGGACCTTGGGGTGCTGGCACTCCCAGGCGATGTGCCCTGAGGCATCACAGTTGTAACACAGCCCGTTCTGCCTCTGGTTGATCCTTGAGTGCTCAAGGTCCATTGGCTGCAGGCCTGCTCCATTTGCAGGGCAGACTGTAGGAGTTGGGGGTAAAGGCATGGGTATGGGTCATGGGGGTGCAGGCATGGGATGTGTGTGAGAGGGGGTGGTAGTTGGTAGGGGTCATCCCAGTGGGAATGGGGGTCTGGGTGGGGGCATGCAGGGCTGCATTGCCTGGAAATGTCACCATTGGTTATTGAGGAGGGTGGCCTCGCATTTCCATTCAGCCCAGGTGGTGGGCATGGGATGGAGGTGGTAAATGCTCTTGCGGAGCTGGGTGTTGATTGCTTGCTCAAAGCGGTCGACTAGCCCAACATCACCCAGCGGTGAGGTGGGTCCCAATATTTCAAACTCCTGGATGACCTTATCCATGGAGTCACTCCATCAGCAAACCTGGATGCGGAGGCCTGAGAGCTCATAGAGCTCATAGAGCTCTCAGAGCTTCAGTACTTTGAAATTGCAGGTCCCCTTCTCTGAGAGCTCTGAAAAGAGGCCAAAGCTCGAAAAGCTCTGAGGACTCACAGAGGTCTATTTGCCCACAGGGAACTATTACCTATATGAGCTCCCTGAGTTCATCTTGAATTTCAATATTTCTGTCATCTCAATTCTTCACCAGCAGAAATCATAGACAAACAAGATAACATGTATTATGAAATAGTATTTTTTATTTACATGTCATCGGTATCATATCGGACAGGACGAGAGGTTTGAAAGGTTTTATAAGCAGGGGCACTGGTGCAATAACCAATTTAGTGGCACACAGACATAAGAAAACATAACTTACACTCATAAATGTTGATATACCGCACATATGTTTTTCCACGATGCCTCAGCATTGTGTTGCTCATTAAGCCAATCAAAGTACTCATTCATGTGGGTGTCATAGACTTCGCGGTAAATCGTCACACTGAAATTGTGGTGCCCCCTGGCATGGAGGTTGAGTATATGTTCAATCTGAATGTCATGTAGTAGTCTTCCAGTGATTAGTCATTGCCACTCACCACCGTTGCCGCAAACCAAATCAGTTGAGGGAGTAACTGATTATGCTGGTCTTCAGTCAGCCCTTCCCATGATGATTCCCAATCAACATCCCTGTACAAGTGCCCTATCACAGCCTGGAAACATTGCAAAAGATATCGGCCACGTCGTCCCTAACAATTGCTAAGCAAGAGCTCTCCATTCAAATCATCCAGCTTACACCGGGATCTTCCCATTCCTGGAAGTAGAAGTTGGTCACATCCAGGAGGCGGGTTGCAAGGTCCACATTGCCCTCACAAGGATCAGGGAGGAACCCATACTCTTTATCAATGCACTTCCTGGCAAAAGTCTTGATCATGTTACGAAAAGCAGATGGCTTGTCCTTGCCGATCTTGAAACTGTTAGTTATATAATGAAGTGGAACAAATTTGGCAACTTACTTGGAGAAGATGAGTCCCTTGTACAAGCTTATGGTCATTCCGAGGGAAATTGAACACCGCATGTCTAGCTGCAAGATTGAGGAGGCGATTCCTTTCTGTTTCGTTGGGGAACAGCTGGTTGGTTGCCAGTAAGAAACAGAAGTGATGCTTGATACAGGAAAGTATCGTGTCAAGGTCCGTCTGCTGTGGGGCAGTAAGGTTCTTGTTGAGGGCAAGACTTGCGGACACTGAGGGTGGATCAGAAGTTGATGTTGATGTTGATGTGCACTGTGAGGTGGAGACCGGCTGTCTGAATAGTCTGGCACTTGGGCGGAATTCATGTGATGAAATGTTCGAAGACTGCCATGATGTTGAAGGTGTACGTGATCGGGCCATTGTTGGGACCCCAAAGGTATGTGACCGGGTATGGCGACCACGACCGCTCTGAAAATGTGGAAGTAAAAGAATAGGTTGGATAGACATTACACATTACCTTTGGTCCCTTTGTAACTCCAACAACAGGGGGCTGTTCCCTAATGGGATGTGTGCCAATCCGTGCCGCAACTGGGTTATCATTCTCATCATTGCTTACTCACTATAGGTCAGTTTATCAGTGGATTGCAAAAGAAAATAGAGAAGGAGCTATTAGAACACATACCACTAGACTGCAAGCAGATTTGCTGCATCCAATGCTGCCGTCACCATTTGTTTTGTCATGATTATCACCATCACCATCCTCCTCCCCATCTTCATCTTCGCCATCACCACTGTACTCAATCTCGTCATTGGGCCCATCCTCATCTCCCTCCCTATCGGATATCTCTTCCCTGTCTAACGATGGAGCTCTAAACAGGGCCTTCTTCCTGATTGTTGTTCGTTTCTGGGGGGGCGCTTGGCTGGGAACTCCTTTGTAGCGAGCTCCTGACCCACCCCTTTGCTGCACTTTCCCACTATGGAGCTGTGTGGCCCCTTTCCGCTGTTGAGTTCTTGTCATTGGAGCCATGTGTGCAGACGAGAAAATGTGCTGCGGAAAAATTTTTTCGATGTCAATAATGCAACACAAGTCACTTAGCGCCACAAGTGGTTATCAAACAAAACATACCCATGCCTTCATCTGAAATCTCGTTGGATTACTAAGCCATTCTACCTTCCTACTGCATTTTCATGCTCTGTGACGCTCCTCAAGAAATTCGCATGATCTCGGCCTTGATTCATGTCGATTTGGTCTTGGGCTGACTGCACGACCTTTTCCCTGAAGAACAGACAATGCCGACCCGGTTCTCTAGAGTCTGTAGGCACTGCGGACATGTTTCCGCTGGTTATAGACATGTGGGGAAGCACTGTAAGCACCCGGGTGGCTGTGGTACTGGTGAGTGCTCGCATTGCACACTAACTCCTTGTTCAGTTTACTCACCCTTGACTTTAAGGCATGGTTGGGAGATTTGGCAAATGAAAAATCCCATTCCTCATTCCACAATCTTAGCACTATCCAGGTTAGTGGTGTGCACTCTTTCCACTTGAAGCGCAACCCATATTGGTCCCCAATTATCAATGTCGACAAGCTATGGTCTCTCGTCCCCGAAGAGGAGAAGGCAGGGCTCACCTCCGAAAGCGAGGTTGTACCTGTCATCGATATTCTCGCCCACGGGTGTGGTAAAGTCTTGGGTAAAAAATTGTGCGTATATTTATCCATAGATGTATTGATATTCTTTACTCATGTCATCATTCTTCCAGTCTGCCAGTGATGCCGATAGGAGAAAGATAAGAAGGGCTGGTGGTGGTGTCAAGTTTAAAGCATAATATCGGCATCGTCACTCTATTCCCTTTCTCATTTATTATCGCTTCATTGCCACCACATTTACTCAACCGACACGCCATATCTAAATCATACCTGGATATGTCCCGAATCTCGCATCTTGATCTTGGTTTGGCGATGCGGACTCTCCCCACAAGTCTGGGGAACACCACTTCACATAGGTACATTAGTCATAAAATCCTACACAAAATATCAAAATTCCAACACTACTCTTCAAGTCATGCATTCCGCGATTGGGGAAGTAGGAATGGGGCAAAGTGAATGAGAAAGTGAGAACTAGGCACATAACCGGAGACGACGGTGAATGGGTAATAGGCGTTATCGTGATTTTCGGGCTTGGTGTCGAAGCGTGTTTCAGCCCTTTAAGTGCACAGGTTGCAATAGGAGTGTTGGAAATACGGCTTCAACTCGGGCTCACAGATCGGAATACAATCCGCAGCGTGAAGTTTTATAGCCAGACACGAGGTGGATCGAGAGTTGCCAGCGAATGAACCTGGGCTTTTGCTTCATGATAAGGGGTTCTTCCAAAGGTGCATGCCTGTGCAAGGGCTTACTGCAAACAACATAAAATGCATGCCACAGCGGGGCTTATCGCATACGATACAGTCCAAAAGCGTGTGCCACAGCGAAGCTTACAAACGATATGATCCAGAAAACACGTGCCTTTTTGAGGGCTTATCGCAAACAGCATAAGGGGGTCGTCATCAGGAAATGGAAGTGGGGATACGTGCACGTGTCCAATGTTAAATCTAAGTGGTCCTGGCTCTTCCATGCAGCATATCCTAAACGAAAGGGAAGTAAGCAGTGGCCAAAGAGGCCTCGAATCCCCTCCTGAGCGCACCCTGTGCCTCAGAGGTGGTTGTGAAGACGCAGAATGAGAGCAAAACGAGAGTGTAAGAACAGATCGCGTGACCCACAACTGAATTCAGATACGCGCCCAGTGGTTAATTGTTCTTTGATGTCTGATTTCACGACTATATAATCACAGGACAGCGCTTACCTCAACCACGCAACGATTCTGCCCGCTATCCCACTCATCCTGCTGCCCTCACCTCACTCATGCCAATCTCAAATGTCTTGAACAATTTCACTGTGGCACCATCGGCTTAATGCCGCTTTGCCTTGGTCTCGCCTGTCTCAGCCACATGGGCAATGTCTCCCATCCTCATCGCGGACCAACAGCCCGCTTGGGTTCAGACCGTAAGCTGAACATCCCAGCGCAGACGCACGGAGCAGGACAGTCTCAGCTATAATTCAATCTCAAACCTAATGCGATAACAGGAACATCAGCATGCTTAAAAGGTTCTCTGACCTACGCCTCCTGTTCCCCCTGCCATTGCCAGCTCATTCTTCCTTGGTGAGTAAGAAAACTTCAGCTCTGGGTCTGAAATCGCTGCCATCGCCTCTAACATGCTCCCTTGCTGATAGCTTTTTGACGCACCCACCACCTCGCTCTCCCCCTGCTACAATATGTACTCAATGTATTTTTAATTTCTCCTTGATGGGTTGCATGTTGCGAGCTCAAATCAATTTATAGGTCGTCCCTTGGCCATTTCCGCTACACTTCACTGTCCATGATTAGATTTGGTGTTCCCTCACACAGTTAATAATAATTTGAGCAAAGAACTTAAGCAAGTGACATGAGTAATTGGTGGTTAAGCCATTAAGGCCGGGTTCATAACCTGTTGTTATGACTGGCCCGATATGTGGATACTAGTGTTTGGCAGCTGTACTCGCGACATAGCGAGGGTCCAAGGGACTAAAGACAAGACTCAAGAAATACTTCAGATGCAAAGATAGTGGCCATTAGATTGACACTGGTCATTAGCTGTGAATACAGGATATTTGTACTATGACAACGCTATGCTAAGAATGGAGCATGCACGGACATGTGTGTTTTGTGGCTGTGTCCCTTGATTGATCAACTTGCGATCAACTTGATCGACACAATCTCCTTGACTGTGAGATGAGTACAAAGCGCTGTGGTTTCTGCCAAAGAGTAGTTTGTCTTGGAGGTGGTGGGATGATGAACCACATCCGGAAATCACCAGGCTGTCTTGCAAAGTTCCAAGAGCACACTGCTGTGGATGTGCAAGCAACTCCTGATAAAAGTGATGATCCATCAACTTCTCAAGAGGAAGGGGATTCACTAATACAGGCTGGATCCTCCTCACCTATGGAAGTCGATCCAGAGCTTTATTCCTCATTTGGTCTACCCGCTACCAATCTAGCTCAGGCTGTGGATGACCCACCTCCAGACTCTGATGATGAATCAAATATGGAATCAGTCTCCTCAGACCTGCTTCCTGAGGATGAGGAAAGTGACAGGGAGGATGGCATTGGGTCTGAGGATCCTTTCACAGCCCCTTTGGGTGGGATTGATACAGAGGAAAGAGGCTTCAGTTATGAGTACTTTGAAGATTCAGGGACTCCATGCAATACTGAACCACTGAGGACAAAATGGGAAGAAAATATGAAGCAGAAGGACCAAACCCCCATCTCCCATGGGCAAATCTCAGTGAATGGAGATTGGTTGAGTGGTTGGTGGATCAGCAGCTCTCACAGAGAGCCATTGATGATTTCATAAAAAATTGTTGGGTATGTGACTGAGTCCCTGTGCACCAATATTGTGGTGCTGATGTGCCCGATTCTGATTCAGACCCAAGAACACCCAAAACAACTGAGCTTTGGGTCTGCAAAGGAAATGTACAACAAATTTTCATCAATGGATGGGGCCCCAGCTTGGCATGCAAAAGAGGTCATCCTCTCTGATGCTCCCACTGAGCCCCAGATCCTGTTTTATCGGGATGTGCGCGAGTGTTCTGATCACATACAAAATAATCCTAGCTTTTCAAATGCATGGGATTATGAGCCACAGCGCTTCACATACTCTGACATGAACATCCATGTCTTCCATGAACCTTGTACAGGGAAGTTATGGTGGAGGTATCAGGTGTGTGTTTAATTATTGGCACTTTGCATCAACTTATATTGGGAGTAGGAAGAATCCCCTGAAGGGACAATGATCCAGGGTGTCATTCTTGCAAGTGATGAGACTCACCTTACAAACTTCTCTGGATCAAAAGTTTTCCATGCTGTCTATATGACACTTGCAAATATCCATGGTGACATCCGATGTTAAAGAAATGGGTTAAGGGCAATCCATTTCTTTCCATCCTTATAGACGACTTAGAATCGTCCACCTCATGTATGTAGGGCGGTTTAGTCGTGTAATTAGAATTGTCCGATGGCCGTGGAGCTTTTGACAGAAAGCTGAGGCCTCGCAGTGAATGGGAGTCTATTACGACGGATACTTGGCGCTCGTTACGTGAGCGTACCGTGCATGGGTGTATAGGATCACAGGTTGAGAGAATGTCCAGAGCAGGACTAGTCGAGGACATAGGGCTAGTGGGTACTTGGCGCTCAAGAGAGCGTACCGGTAGCGAGCGAGATAACGACTCCTTGAGGGAGCTTCCTGAGAATTGGTTGACAGGTACTTGGCACCCAATTGGGTGTACCGGCAACGAGTGAAATTCTAGCTCCTTGAGGGAGCTGCCAGAGGCTGGGTTGACAGGTACTTGGCGCCCAGATGGGCGTACCGGCAACGAGGTATGAGACCGTTCGACTGGCGGACGGTCTGTATATGTGTCAACGGGTACTTGGTGCTCGTAAGAGCGTACCGGTGATGGAGGGGTTAGTCGATCGTAAGTCGAACGATGTAACGGGTCTATCCAACTAGACTCGCAACAGGAAAGAGGGGGGGATAAGGATCTCACTGAGGGTCAGGGCTGAAGTGGGGTATATTGGTCCTCTAGAGTGTGGTGCTGATACTCTCTACCAAACTGTACAGCAGGTCACGGAAGAGTCCGATAGATAAATAAGGAAAGAGTATCACATGACAATAAGAAAACGGAAACATCTGGCTCTAGACACCGGAAATGAAATCAGAAAAATTGGGAAAAATAGGAAATATGTGTAAGGAGTGTGAGTGGACATGGGTTACATGTGATGGATGTGAGGTGCTTGCTGAGGGTAGTAGAATCGTGGGATTTGGCTCGTTTAGGGTGCACCGGCAAATCCCCGTTACAACGACACGTGGTGGGTTCGACGGCTACTTGGCACTCACAAGAGCATACCGGCGACGAAGGGAACGGGCTTGTATCGAATATCCATCCATCCATAGAATTAACCAGATGCTCACCGTAAGGTGAGACAGACGTGAACCCAGTACCTGGGTGAACGACGTGAGTCGTAACAAAAGGTGATCGCACATACCTGAGTTGAGTCACGCGCGAACTCGCTGATCCGTGGCTAGAGTCGTCAACCTCAGCAGGGATGACCCATATTGTTATGGGAATGGACCTAGAATCTTATGGTCCATGACTATAGACAATCAAACCTTAGCCCCTTCAACTTTATTTCTTTGTCAAACCCATGCCAAGCTTTCCCACTGGGTTTTGGTGCTGGCTGGGGGATTTGTTGAGTTTCAAGGGACTTCCTTTGACCATTATGATTTTTATATTAGATAGTTAGAAGTCATATGATGTATAAGGCAGATGCCGGAACTGTTCTCATTATCAAATACATAACCCACAAACCTTGTACCGCAATTGTAACATCCTCACCATTGTGTCACCACTGTAAACTCAACCTGTAACCCTGGAACCATGTCCACCTCCCTATTCCTCCTCTCCATGACAAAACCGCAGCGAGGAGGGCATTCCCACACCCAACCTCCTGCTGCCCACTCCCACCAGTCCACCGGGTGGTTGAGTGGTTACTCCCATCCAACCAGAAGTTCCCTATCAGGAACTGTAGCCTATCCCACCTCCTCAGGAGAAGGATACGGTCCAGGCAGCTCCAGGATGCCTGGCCATGCACCCACGGGTCCCACTTCCCACGGTCACCCACTACCGTGCACTGGTCCACCAGCCCGCTTTCCCCAACAACTCCTGCTACCGGTATGCTCCCATGAGCGCCAAGTCACCAATAGCCACCAACTGGGTGACTCCCTTTGGGAGTCCCAGTATCCCTCACTACCAGTACGCTCCATTGAGCGCCAAGTCACCGCTAGCCGAACACTCCCAGCACACCCGCTACCGGCACGCTCCCAGGAGCGCCAAGTCCCCGTTAGCAGACAGCCAGGTGGCTCCCTCAAGGAGCCCACATCATACTCGCTACCGGTATGCTCCCAGGAGCGCCAAGTTACCGTTGGCCAACACACAGGTTGTACTTCCATACACTCATCCTATTCCGCTCTCCCTCTGATGGCTACGCAGCCACCTCCATTAGTGAGCCGAACGGCTCAGGTTGGGTTCCCCGGAACCCATTCCTGTAACACATATAGACGGTGACCGAGACATACACAATCTTACACAGACGATACAGTGTTGGCACAAGGAGGTTTACAGTTGTTGCACAGAAGAGGATGGTGTGTTATTCGTTAGGTTCCGTCTTTTTGGCTCTTGCCGTACATAAACGTGACGCTAACTATTGAATAAGAAATGATCGCGAGAAATCTTGCGAAATAGAATAAATATTCCGGCCAGCACCAAAACCCAATAAGGGAAAGCTTAGCGCGGAGTGAACATGTAAGAAAGGGGGGTAGCGGGGAGAAGGTAACAAAGAGAAGGGAGGATATGGAGAAGGAGGACCCGCCATGGTGGACGTTCAATCGACACGGTCACAAGAGACTCCATTCCTGTAACATCCGATGGCAGCCTGATAGTGGTGCCTGGCTGCTTCTTGCAATCCTACCAACATCCTCCTTTATCCAGACTGTCCTCACATACACATCTCCTCAATCACATATCAAATTGACCAAGAATGAGGCAGCCACGCTTCCAGGGATTCTTAAGCACCGACTCTTCCATGCATGCATGAAAATAGTCATTGCCCCACTTCACCCCTCTCAGCATTCCCACCCAGTTCTAGGCCCTGACAGAAACATCCGTATGTGCAGGACCTGCCTCCTTGGCTATATTGCTGACATGAAGGAGCAATGTTTGATTGCCTGTGTTGCAACAAGGTCATGCCCTGTCTGCTGTGCACAACCACATGCTGATGGAACAACAATTCGAGGCCATTTGACTGCCAAAAAACGTACTGGAGCATCCACCTTACATGTTCTGAGTAAGGTTAGGGCAGAAAACCCAGATGCCCCAATTTGGAGGTTTTGGTCATTGGTGTATAAAGAAAAATGTGGAGTTTCTGGTTATGTGGAACACCCATTTTGGGAGGATCTGGATGTAGGACCATCTCAGTTCCTGCGTCAAGACCTCCTACATGGTGCACACAAATTCTTCTGGGATCATCCATGCAAATGGATCGCAAGGCTGATAGGGGTTGAAACACTTGACAGGCGTATTTCTCTTCTCCCTAAAGAAGGCCGTTGCCAGTTCAAAAATGGCCTCTCAAAGTTAAAGCAAGCATCTGGGCGAGAGCACAGAGATGTTCAGAAATACATTGCACCAGCATTGGCTCAGGCACCAAATGTTTCACCTCCCTTTACTTCCCTCATCATTGCCCTCCTCCATATCATCTCAATCCTCCAGCTCCCCATGATTGATGATCACATCTTGCAAAAGCTTGATAAGCATCTGGAAGCAATGTATTCCAATGCTGATGAGCTTATCAACCTTGGCATCCGAACTAATCTTTGGATACCAAAACTCATGGCTCTTGCACACTTCCAACAGGACATCATTCTAGGTGGGGTTCCAAGCAATTGGAGCTCTGAGACACCTGAAACCCTCCATAAAGTGCTGCCCAAATCACTCTATGACCAAACAAACCAGCGAAACTTTCAACTCCAAATGATATCCATGTTGACCATTTGTGAGAAGGAACGGGTGAGACATCAGTATGTGAGGTGGCACTCATTAATTGCCCAGCCACTACCACATGATGATGCACCACAACTTTCTAGCATCAAGATTGCAGATAGGCCCCACCAGAGTAATATCTCTATTGAGGTCATTGCTGGTTGGAGGCCAGAACTATCAGACCTCCCATCAGCAATTTGCCGATATTATCATGAACGACAATCACAGCGCACAGCTCAACCTCGTTCTGTCTATACAACTGACTCAGAGTGGTTCCCACAACAATACAATGGTTTGGACCTTTGGTGGTCCTATCGGCTCACTGTCCCTGCTTTCAATCAGTTCTACAAGGTGTCAGGGCACACCCCACCTGACCCCGTGCTGCGCCGCCCTACTCCGCTTCCCCACTATCACCCTTTGTCTCTTCTTTCCCCTTCTTTCTTTCTATGGTCGACTTCCCCTTCTCTATGTATTACTAACACACCTAACCCTGCTCCCCCGATCGCCGCGCCCGCCGCGCGCATTCCCGCTCACAGAGTGGCACACCTCTGGGATCTCCCACGGAGATACCCAGGGGAGTGCGGCTGTGTGCGGGGATGACGTGGCTCCTCCCACGTGACCCTGACCGCATGTATATAATAGCACCTGGGGTGGGAACAGAAGAAGCAGCCTTCTTCTCAACTTCCCACTTCAGACTAAGTGGTCGGGGACGCTCACCCCACAACGGGACCGTCGCTACGCATAGCCGACACCTGTCCCATCGAGTCCCTCGTGCTGGACCTCACCACTTTCGGAGCTGTCCCTGACACAAGGCAGAAACAAGGGTTATCAAGTGCAGACCAACTGGTGATTATAGAAGTGGGGCATTTGATTCTGTCTTTGCCCTGTGTCAGGGTTCAGCACCCTGCCCTAAGGTGCCCCAGACTCCCCAACCAATCCCTTCCTTCCATTCCTTCATTGTTGCCTTGTTGTTGCCTTTCTGTGTTGTGTATCCACGCACATGGGATAGCGTGGGAACCTTCTGAGCGAGCAGCTTGCCCAGAATGTTCCCACGGGTCACAGCCACAGTTCTGGGCGAGCAACTCGCCCAGAACATTCCCATGCTTACTGGGCACTGCCACCTGGATGTTCCCTCCGGGTCACACTACACAACTCTAGGAGCTGTATAGTTGTGGGCATGTGACCCATTCCTTTATATAGTAACCATGCGGGGAGATGAGACCTTTACCCTTCTTCTCATCTCATGCCCCGCATAGGCAAGTGTATATATTATCTTTCCTTTTACTATACATCTCATGCCCCGCATAGTGTGAGGACAGGCCAGATGGGGGTTGAGGTCAGGGAGCCTCCGAGTCCGAGGCCGGGCCCTGACACCCTGGTCCATCCTCAGCACAATGGAATTCATAGTAAGGGCTGATTGCAGATGCCCTAACCCACCTAATACTGACATCACTTTGTAATGGTAGAATATTGTCCAGCTCAGTGTCATATCCATTCCCGGCCATCAACTTCCGGGCTCTCTGACCCCTCCGTTCTAACTCCGCTCCCCCCTCACCAACCTCGGAGCCCCCGTATTCCGCAAACCTCTCGGTACCCCTCGATGGTCACCACCCCTCATTTCAATTTATTACCTATGCCTCCCTAAGTACGGAGCCCCGAAGACTTCCGGACAGCTCCGACGTCCGCTAGCGCACTCCCGCCTCCGCTGGGCAATACACTCGCCTGCCCTGCAGAGTCCACCTTCGGGCCTATCCCTCCTTTCCGTTTCTGGGTTAACGCCTGCCTTTCCGCTAACCCCGCGAACCGACTCGTCGGTAATATTCAGTCGGCTAATGTCTTAACCCCGTTAGCTCCGCTCCGTCCGGCTCTGCCAATTGCGGAACCGTCTCCGCTGTAACCATATATATACACTACTTGTACATAGGTTACGCCCCAGCAGATAAATCAACTAGAGTTACCCCCACTAGGTTCTAAGTGCCAGTCAGTAAGTTAGGGCACGGATGTGTCACTAGGCACAGCGCTCCTGGCAGAAGTCGCTGAGGCCAAAGCCCTCCGTTACGGAGACATTCCTTCGTCTTAAATCTGGTCTCTGACACACATAGCCAAGGATGGAAGTACCACAGAACAAGGATTCCTCAGGAACTAATGCAAAATTCAAAGTCGTGTTTATAATAGGAAATGTAGATGTCCCCCAAACGGACCCAATTAGAGTAATTACAGGGGAAACTACCCATAAACGACGGAGATATGACTAAAACTCCTGCAAAACGAGGACAATATCTAAAAGGCAAGCGCGAAAATTAACCAGTAACGACTGAGACAAGCTTGATGGGCCATTAGAAAGGAAGGGATCTAATCTTAATCCTCCCAAATTTTCATAATAAAAGGATCATGTGTTAATGAGATATCCAATAATGGGAATAGCGACATCAAAAGTCCGAGCTCAGGGAAAAGACGATGTTTGCATAGGATCCATAATTAAAACATACAACGAAATTTACACGGAAATTATGAAAAATGGGGAACTATAGTTATGCAAATTTTCAGCCCAAACGGTCCAGCCATTGTGAAGTTATACCCATGCGGGAATATAGAAATCCGCATCATGTATAATGACACGTGAGGGTGGCGATGCGCAGGGAACCGGCCATCGGAACCGAGATCCACACTTCAGCAGATCGCAAAGACCAATTTCCATCCAAATAAGGAAGAGCCCAGTCAAAACAAAGCACGGAAAGTGCAAAACAACCTTAGATCATGAGGGAAAAATCTGAAATAAATCACAGAAGCCCATATGAAAGAAATAAAAACCCGCGCATATCATAAATCCCGAACAATTAAACGGAAACGGTGCCCGCATACAAACGACTATGGGAACGATGCACATGATTACTGAATGTGCGCGCGAACTTTTGCTAACTCAACGAATACCAGGAAATAGGACACAACCTTAGTACCATTGGAAAGGTGGGAATAAATGAAAATTTATGATACCAAGAACGTGAGAAAACATCCAGAAATGAATGAGATACAGGGACATGAAGTTAGAAACCTGAAAACACGTGGGAAAACAGCTTCAAGAGGTCCAGAGTCCTAAATAAAATACATAAAAATATGATATCTTCAAGGACGACCTACTATAACAACGAACAATACATATGGAGTATTAGGATGTGATAATACAAAGGGGAATCAGGGAATATGAATGAAATTCACGAAAACCACTAAACTATGACGGACCATGGCGGGAATTTTAGGGAACGATATTCTAATGAGGTGGAGAGCTATAACACATTCGTTTGAGTAATTTTTGACTACTAGCAACTTTTTCTTTCAGTTTTAAACCTGAATAATTCACTCATTTTAACTAAATGTCACTAAATAAAAATGGAATAAATCAGCTGAAGGTCTCAGCACAGCCGTATGCATAGTAATGCGAAGTTTGAATTCAGAATCATCGAGTCATAGCAAATTTAATGGTATATATAGGGAATTTGAAATAGGTAACTGCAGCAAATGCAGTGCAGCCAAGTTCTAATTAACCATTAAAATAGCTTAGGCGAGGGAGGACAATAAGGATTCTAGGCGCAGTCTGACCACAGTAGAACCGCAGTTCAGTGCAGCAAAAGCACAGTAGAACTATAGCGTGAAAATTTCATTTTTTATTCAGTTTGAGAAAAATACACTGTAAATAAATCCTGTAAATAGAAGGTAGAGCGTGAAAAAGGAAGGCGACCCAAGGAGTATAAAAGGGAGACCCTTTCTGCGACTTTTCGCCCCCTCAGAGAAGTAAGAAAATAGAGTATTATTTTTCTCAAGCATTTCTGGTTGTCACTCCAGTGCGAAAAAGTGATATACAGTTAAGATTGCCACTGTAGTAAAAGGCAGCAATTGAGGAGAGAAATATTAAGTAGATATTTCAACAGGAGAGCTGGTTAACACTCCAGATTTCAAAGTGTAAACACAAAACAGTTATCTTGCTACTGTTAAAACAAGCAATAAAATAAGACAAAAATAAAACAAACCCAAGGGACACTCCAGACACAATCCAAATTCATTAACTGAATAGAATCTTTGAAACTTCACCAAGTAGAAGATTAAATTCAAGTTTAAATCCAAATTAAACAATGCTACACAGAATTACACCTAGACAAATTAAGAAATTTCAATAAAGAAACAGCTCCACAGGGCTCGGTTTATCTGTAAGTCAATTCCCAGGAACTTTAAAACTAACCCATAAAAATAGAATTAGCCAAAACACTCGGATTGGTACTATATTTACAATAAATAACACTAGTACACTTCCCCATCCTAACTAAAGAACCAGGGAACAGCTTGGTGGTGGTCTCGTTTGAACCTCCCAACTGACCTTCCTTCGTTCTCTCCTTCAACGTGGAAGTAGATACCTGTCAGGGGACGACTCCTGGGTCCCCATGACCCTCCCCTATGGCCCACAGCCTCAGGTCTGGCCAGCCCTATCCAGGGCACAATCTACTGTGGGTAAGGAGATGAGAAGGAAGCTAACTTCTCATCTTCCCACAGTGGCCACAATATCAGCAAAACTTCCGGGGATACCCAGAAGTCACATGAAGGGGTAGGAACTGGGCCCGGAGCATGCGGGAAGCGCAGTGGGTGGAAGTGGGTCTGGATGCGGGTCCGGGTCCGGGCTAGTCAGGGTGTGCCCTGACAATACCACATTCAGCTTTGAAGCAGTTGAGATCCTCGCTGGCTCCCGAGAAGGGGGTAGGGGGGGTGACCTTGGGGCCCTTGGGTCTGGGCACAGGTGCTGGTGCAGGCAGGGGGGCAGGTGCAGGTACAGGGGCAGGTGCAGGCACAGCCTGGTTCAGGGCATGACTTTCGACAATGGCCTGTAGTTCTTCGAACCAGGCCAACAGGTCGTCATATTGTTCTTCCAATACCATGGCAGGGGAGGAGGTAGAGGGAGTGTAGTTGAAACCTTCTTCTGCTGTCAGGGATGCGTCCGGGGTCGAGGT